CAAAACCGAACAAACATTTGCCCCGAGTTCGTAACTTGGGCCTATTTATATCGCAAGTCGTCGCCTAAATCGGGCCACAAATCAAATGGCTGACCCGACGTGTTTACAAACAGGATGGCTTCATTCAGCTGGGCTCACATTCCCCGAGGGCCCGGCAGTAAGATCCTGAACCCGCCCTTGAACTTGAAGCGTGACGCCCACAACAGGGGCGTTTACCTCGATTGCAAGGAAAATACGAATTGTATGCCTTCGCTAGTCGGGCGTTAAAGAGATCAACATTTCTCGGATGTGACTTGGATTTCACGCGACTCACTTTTCTCTCGGATGTATGGCTTATGCCTGTGCCTTGCTACGAGTAGGTGTACTGTATAGAAAAAAAACATACTGACACTGGCCAGTAGCGCAAATCGCACGAAGCCATAAATCTATATATATAAAAATGAAACCCGTTTCGCGTTGTCACGGCATCACGTGTGAACGGCTGAACCGATTTCGATAATTCTTTTTTTTAAATGTTTGTGGAAGTCCAAGGATGGTTCTTACGGAAAAAAATATTAAGAAAATCTCTACGCTAAGGCGGTACGAAGTTCGCCGGGTCAGCTAGTGAACAATAAAAATTACGCTTAAAATGACATGTGTTCTTTTTTATTTTTGAAAAGATGCAGTATGTACACCTATATCTTGCCAGTGTCGAAATCCTCTCAATAACTCTAAAACGTTTGCCTGCACTCTGATCGGTGGAGCATAAAAATAAAAAGTGCTTCTAACAGGCGTAAGTTTGTGACTAACGGAACCTGCGAAACTTACACTTGCAGGGTAAATTCCACCGATAAATACTATTAAAAGATAAGTGGGAAAACTTTCCGTTAACGGAATCAGTCAAAGATTACACGTCTTTTAGGTCTTAAAAGATACGCTGATCGTGCCCTAACAAGATTATGCCAATTATGTTAAAACGCCGAAATAAATGTTAATTTATGAAGATTTACATTCCATCCAATTAAATTATCTCGTTTGAATTGAAATGATCCTACTTAATCTTAATCAATGAAGTCATAGCAATTCACATTCAAAGGTTCGAAAGAGTAATGAACCCATCAAAGAGGCTTCTGAAGAAAATTCTAATAACACTGTCATTTACCTTTGTAAGAATGCTCAAGGCTAAATCCGATACAATTATGAAAACTAAACCTCAACAGTGTGCTTACCATGAGTCTGTTTACGTTAAATTACGTTAGGTGTGCTCGCTAGCGAGTACGTCAAAAAAATCTATGAACATTTTATTTCTTGAAAGTAGCCGCTAGAGGCACTGTACAATAAACATATATAACTAATGTAATTTTTTTACACAGTCCCTAGCGAGCACACCTAACGTAAACTCATGGGTCTTAAGTGTAATATCCCAAGGCTCAACGACAAAACTTCTACATAAATCCTACTTAAAAAAAATAGTACTGTCGTTGGGGGTTAACTCCCACGGGTTATTCTAAAGTGTGGCCAGGATCCATCGTTTACACCGTACGTGCCGGAACCAGGAACCGGCGCGGTTCAGACAAGCCCCAGACTGAGCTGGCTAGGGCTACCAGACACAAAAAAGACATAACTTCTTACTTTTTAGCCCATTTAAATGCCCGGTCTACAAAGTCTGAAGCAGAAACACCTCTAAAATTTTAATTGCATTACGGTAGAAGCTTTCTCTAGTAAGCTTGTGAGCTTTTGAGAGGAGACTAACAAAAATATAGTCAATTTTGTAACTCTAGCTCCTCTTGGTGGTTTCACAAATTTTCAATTAAAAAAAATACTTACATAAAAGTTACATTAACATAACTGTAACAATTTACACCTTTCGAATAGAGTAAGAATTTTGTAATTCAATTAGGTAGTGGTTCTATTACCATTTATCGTACATAAAAACAAACACACGTCATTAAAGAACCTATAAATTACACACAACATAAACTGAAACTGAAAATTGCAGCCTTTGTTAACCCCTGCAAGTGTCAGGGCTGCGTGAAAGAATGCGTGAACCGCGGGCAAATGGATGCCGCGTGATTTGTCGTGAAGCGTCGCGGCGGGGGCTCACGCCTGCGGTGTTCCCGTAAAATGTAGTACATTTGCAGTGTGGATGGGTTAACACCTTATTTGTGAATTTTAACGGGACAAAGCGAGTATTATTTTTTCTAATGAATAACATCGTATCAGATTTATTCCTCGAGTCGTTTATCGAAATACCTATGCTAGGGAAATAGAAATAAGACACTTTGCTAGTCAAAGTATACTTATGTAAAGTTATTGCACAATTATTCCTTAGTTTACGTACATGTAACTTAATACAGTTACTATTTTTGGTATCGACCTGAAAAAGACAAGAACGAGCAAAAAATAGAATCATTAAAAGGTACAAAATATTACATGACGTGATATCAAAGCTGCCAAAGCTTTCAATGAGTCACTGTTGTTTTCTAATATAAATAAATAATGAAACTCACACTGACCTCTTCACGTTCCAAAAGTAGCCATTGCAACAAACAACTATAAAATCTATTATTAAAGAATTAAAGTCCATAATCTTATCGCAAATCACTGCCCAGTCCCTCGGCGGGGTTGCCCTATCAATATCAGGGGTCGATCCCGGTCATTTTTCACACATCCCTGACCTACCAGAACGTAATGTCCCGAGGCGACCCGACATCAGATCGGCTAACATCATTTGAAGGGGAATCTGGTAAAATAGTGTTGAAGTACCCTTGTTTAATGTTGATGGGATTGTAGTTCTTTTTTAGGAATCGCACTGTTTTAACTTAATACCATTTTTATTGCAGTTTTTTCTTTCCTTAAAACATAACTAAATTGTTTTGATCTGTGATCGGAGCGGAGTATAAAAATTCTCACGGGGAAGGGGAAAACATGGATATCCTGATATTTTCACACGTATACGTCCAAACCATAATCTCTTGAAAAATACATCTAAGTCACTAGTTAACCAAATAAATAAAACATCGATGAATAGTTACTTATTTTGTTTGGCAAACCAAACGTACCGTCAATACCAATGACAATCCGTTGAAATACTCATATAATGACAAAATTATAAATGTCAATTATTTACGCTGTCTACTCGCGCTCAATTCTGAAAATAAACCCTGTTTTCGTCAATAGTACTTAGATCTACTATCATTATGAGGTTTTCACAAAACCTATCAATAGCCACAAGTCTGAAAGCTTCATTACAAGTTTTCATAAATTCATGCCATCATAATAATGGTATTTTCAGGATAGCCACTACAAAGACACGTATTACAGTAATACACCCCTTCATAACCCTTGACAGCTAAATTGTCATAAAAACCTGACTTCAAAAGGTAGGTAACGTCATTATGTTAACAAGGACTGTCATTGCATAAACCGGGGTAAAACAACTGTTGTGATTCAGCCATTACTCACAACATCGGCTAGACGGCCCCGGGCTCATCCGTTATTCATTTAGAGCACTTTTTCAGCCGGACTAGGGAATACAAACGGGGCCGCTTGTTTTTAGGGCTTGTTTTAATCACGCACGCAACGTACTTTATGACGTGAGTTATTACTAATATTATACACTAATATTATGAAAAGGAAATATTTGATTTTCTGTTTATACTTATTGAAGATTTGAAACTACTGAACCGATTGAAAAAAAATTCTTTCACAATTAAAACCCCACATTGTGCCTGATGAATATAGGAAAACAAATGTTGGGATCAAACAATGAGGGCTATCGTTTTTATACTTAACAGTTGGCACCCCTGGCGATTGACAGGACCTTACTCTACAGTGGCGCTAACTGGTGAGCGCTAAAACGATAGCCCTCATTGTCGACAGAAAATTCAGAAATTCAGACGTATTAGATTGTAATCTTTTAGATTGCTTATTGTTATTTCTGATAACGGAGACATACTGCAAACTACTAATGCAAAAAAGGTATTTTGGGACATTTAAAAGCGCTCTTGATACCGTATCTACGTTAGATATGCGATAGAGACGTCAATTTATCAGCCAATATTTACTGCCTTCTACTTCACATCCCAGTCAGTACCTTTTGATAAAACTTAGTTCCGCGTTTCATCCCAAAACACAGGCAGACACTCACCTTTACATGCCATAGCCCTTCCCGTCCGGTCGATACCCGCCCGTATGCCAGACGGTTGTCAGACGGCGTCTGATCGCTGGTCGGACGTGTTTTGTTTAACGTCCATAAAGTACTCCGTTATCGACTAATTAAATACTTGAATGTACGATTTGAGATAGCAGATTATTTCTGATGCGGTTCGTGGTAAATTAAACGTAAATAAATGCCTTTTGGGAGGGTTGTAATAACATCAGTCTTTCATGTTACCACGATTAAGTCGGTTGTTGATTATGGTTCAAATTGTTTTGATTAGAATAATCAATATTGTCCAAAATATTTAAAGCAATATTTAGTAAAACTTGTTGTTTGACTTTCCTAGATTATAACTTTTACACAAACAACTAAATGGAGATGATGATCAAAATGTTTACCGTGATTTTGAAATGAAAATACAACGAAAATTTATAGCTATTATTCATGCTATTAAATTACCAATAATTTAAAATTTCCCCATACTTGCATAACACGGAAATGTTCCAATGCAATCGAATACACAACACAAACGAGCACAGTTTTGTGTTCGCGTTGTTTTGTCCATCGGGTAGTTAACCAACTGCTGGAGTTTGACACTTTTTTCATTTAACATTTTCGGCTTTAGTTATAAAACTTTCGAATTGGTTACGTTTGGAACAGTCTAAAAACTGTATAGCTTTGCTTGCAAATGAAAAATAAAAAATGAGATTTGCGACTCTATTTGTATGTGTTTTGAATGAAACAAGCTTTCGAAGTAACTTTAAAATCTTATTACGAAACGATGTTATATTATTTAGATTTATAGTATTAGTATTTGATTGAATAAACAAACACTAATATTCTCGTTTATTGTTTACAGGTCTTACAAGACATCAAGGTAAATACCACTTTTATTATCCTTCCATTTCATTAGCGTTAGTCAAACCCTTCTTGTCGTTAATTTCTGTAGACGCGTCGCTGAAAAAACACGCTTTGTCGTCGGCGTACGCAATTCGAATGCTAGCAATGCACGCTTCTTTTGTTTTACCTGTAGTTTTTTTCTTTTTCGTACCCGTCTGTCAGATAGTCCATTGTTTAAATTAGAATATGCTGCTACTTTAGCACTTTACTTGCTTCTTTTTAATTTAGGGCTGATTTTTCAACCGTCGGATAACTTTGAACTGTAGAATATGTTTGACACTTTGGAAGTTTCAGGAGGAAAAATCAGCCCTTAAACGATTAATTTAATTTACCTAATAGAGTCACTTTTTGCTTAAAGTAGTTATTGATTATTTAGAAGTTTTCTTACTTGTTTAGTTACTGTTACTACAAGTTAAGTTTGCCTTAAATTAGCTTCCCAGTTCAGAAGTGTGTTAACCTTCTTAGAATTTCAAGGGCACCTTTTTCTTGATATTCGGAAGTAATTTGTGTACCAAGACACATTGCATCCGTGGAGGTTCGATACTTGGGGTAGGGGTGGGGCGGCGGTCGATGGGTCACCGACCCCGGGAGATTTCGATGCCACCCTGTACCGCCTTCCACTTATTATTTATTAAAATTTTCAACTGCTCTTATTGTGACAGTGAAGTTTGACGAACCGTAATTCGTAATTAAGCGGATAATTCGAAGGTGTGTTGACAAAGTTTAATTAGGATTAGGTTTGCAGTCACAATTTAATCTCGTGAATTGTTAGACATTCCTAATTTATTCATTTGTTTATCTACTAACTGCACTACCACATTTTAAAAAGAGAGTAAAAAAATGTAGAGTTGTATGTTTGGATATTTTAGATTACTCTAAGTAGAATATAAGGTGGATTAGAATTACTAAAATGGTACAGAACTAGCTCTATTGCTTTATTTATAAACATAACCAACAATAAGTCAGTTTTATAGGGAAATAAATTAACTCATAGTTAATTGGTTCTCACGAAAACTTCAAAACACCTGTAACGCACAGAGTATACCCAACATCGTAAATAGTTATTTCCATTATGCAACACTCATTGCACAGAAACAGTGCATCGGTCAAATCCTAACTGTACACTCGTGCATCCGTAATCCCAGGTCATAAGGTTCATTTTGAGCCATTTTTGAGCGAATGTCCCATCTCCTTCGCTCGCACTATTGCTGCTTCGCTCAGCCAACAATCGCAGTCGAAGATTCTATTTACAAAACATTTGGTGCGACGTTGCCGCGCCGCCTGCGCCTGAGTCGGTGACGTCATGCAGATAGCGCTGTCCTTATCGCACCGTGCTGGCTCTTTCTAAACACCGCAGCTTTTCCAGTCAAAGGAGTCCACAAAATCAAAAGTTAAAAATAAATTACTCGCCATTGCTAGCCCGTAGAAAGAACTCTACGTCTTAGAAGGTCACAGTTTGCGAGCTTAGATTGTTATCGGTGATTCACCAAATTATTAATTAGGTATTTTTAGCATAGTGCTATTTACATACTATAACGTTTTCAAACAACAATTTATGTTTTAATTGAAAATGTGTGTTAGAGCTACCATAGAAGTAAAGGTAGAATAAACTTATTCCTTCTTCGAAAGCTTCCGATTTTCAGGGTTCTGTCCCTACATTTTGGCTCAATTGATAGCAAGTTTTTGTATTGAGCAGCTGATAATTTCTCTCACTATCATCATTTATCTATTAAAAGTTATCTATTACAATCATGTTTTGGCACCTGTTTAATTTAAAATAGACCTGTATAATAACATTTTGAGCTTTCATTAGGCAATATTAACTCTATTTTCATTTCTCGGAATAACTTTTTTCAAATGAAGTTGTTACAAACAAAGAGCCTATTCCTTAACAATGACCAATTTGTTGTTCCCATTTAGGTAATTCTAACTTTCTTTAAATTAAATAAGTTATGGTTAACTTAAACCTGGCTTTCGCTACACGCCACCGTGTTTGGATACGATGACAGATTGTTATCAAACATGGCCGCAAATTATCGCCACTTGTTGCCGTAATCGACGCTGTTTGATAAACATTAGCCGTTTGTTATCCGTCCGTAACATAACATCTGATGGTGGAACCGACCGCTGATTTAGTTGTTTGTCTATTAGTGACATTTCGTGACATGTCACATTTTTACTCACCTGTTCGATAATGATTTGCTAATTGTTTAACCCTGGGTTGCATCATCTTACTTTAACTCTAACGTCAAAAGTCTGTCAAACTCCTACAAAATCACCGATTAAAGTTATAGTTGCGATTAAAGTTCCTTAACTTGAATCGCAACTATAACTATCACCTTTGATGCTACTAATCCTAAAATTTCGCATTTTTTGTTGGCTTGATTAGATTTTCAAACACGGTGCCTATGTGTATCTATTTTATGTTAAGCTAAATTACGTATACGTATGAAGTTACAGTAAACGAGAATTTTGTTAATTAGCGGTAGAAAGTTTTGAAAACTCCTTCCCTTAATATGAATTTCATCTGACAAGTGAAAAACACGTTTTCCCTTTTGCTACCAAAGAGTAAATTAATTTTATAATACAACAAAAAACCTGAAAAAAGTTCAAATAATAATGGTCGGACTATCAGATACTGTCCACATGATTATAACAACATAAAACAAAAAACAAATAAATTAACCATCAAAATCGCGTTCGATATTTAAAAATTCAAATCGGCCATACATCAGGCAATTGTTTTTTAATCATAAACACGACGAAGGCCGGACCGCACAGTGGAACCTGTTTGGGCATTCCGCGAGCGACGCCAGGAAGCAATCAATCCGTGCACAATGGGCCAGAGCTGGGCCAATCGACGCACAATGACCACAGATTATGACCGATTGAGAAAAATTACGGATTAAATGAACATCCTACGTGAACAAGACGGTTGATGACGCATTTCCATCCCTTATTAGATGCAAATTCAAGGAATTTCTTGAATTTGGGAAACTCTGACATAATTTCTTCCCACTTTTGGGAATACAATTACTTAGGGCTGCACTAAATACAAAAACGATTTTTCTAAATGACTCTAAACACAGGCCAGGCGGCTTGGCGTCGGTGGTTTTCATGAAAGAATACTTAATACTCTCTATGACTTTTAACAAAATGTCAAAAGTCGACGAGTCATGTCGGTGGGTAGGCGGGTTTTATACACACATTCCACAATATTTTTCTAGAGTCAATAAAAATGCCATAACCTGAATAAATGATAAGCTCTACACAACTCTACAATTACTACAATAACGTATGATATAATATACGAGTACAATGATCCGCACATATTGCTGACGCGCGTCATTATTTTCGTATATCTGGCTGGCTGCCAAAGATGATGCGACAGAATCTGCCTTTTGTGAAAATTTTCGATACATCGATCTTATTCAATCAGAGCTTGTGTTTGAGGAAAAGTTAAAAAAAAGGAAAATCCTTTATTATTGTACAGAATAGTTAGCTTTTGCTGTACTTAAAAACTTTATATTATTATTGCGTCTTCTAATGCCATGAAAACTTATGACAAAATATAGCAAGATTAGTAATCAAAACAACTTATAAATTCAACAAGATATCAAAAGCTTTGTGTTTTGTTATTAGTCTGTGAATTGTTATTGTTATCAACAAATATTAGAAGGGATGATTTATTATACATAAATATTTTTATTAGTCTACCATAATTATTTTAGGTCTAGACTTTTGTCTCAAAAGTTTTTTTTAATTCATATAAATAAGAACATAAAATGTCGTCATGTACATGTTACAGGAAATGTATGAATTCTAGGAATTGTATACTATTCCTAGGAAATGTATACAATTCCGAAGCTATTTAGGAAATGTATAAAATATTGCTTCAGAGATTTTTTAATACGCACATATCCTAGGACATGTATACTTTTCCTAGGAATTTTATAGAATTCCAATATTGTATTAGGAAATGTATAAAACTAAGCGGCACAAGCGCGGTCATGTGATTTAGTGCCCCTCAGTACGCCTAAAATTTTATTTAGACAAACCACATTGACCGATAGGTACTTTTAACTCACAACTATTATTGTTTAGCCTGAAAGTTGTTTTCGCACTATTATATTTTGACTGAAAAAAATATTTGCCTATTGGCATACCTTTCTTTCGGCATCACGCATATTACGCTGAAGTATTGGAAAACCCTAATTTGAACATATCTTTTATTAAACTATTATTGACATGAAGGTTTTAGTACTCATGTAGCTGGATAACAAAGTCTCGGTTAGGTTAGGTTAGACAAACTTGCGACCTTGTCACATACACAGCGGCCGCGGCGCGGGAGCGCCATTTAGGTTTCGGAAAAAAAAAGAAATCTTAATTACATTTCCGATTGCTGTTTAGGAAATGTGTAAATTTCCTAGGAAATGTGTCTAATATAATTTACATCACACATTTCCGGGTGATTTTAGGACTTATACACAAATCCTAGGAATTGTATACAATGACGGATTTCATACATTTCCTGTAACATACATATTACAAAACGTGTCATTGTAACTTGGAAGCCCACAACTTTGGTATAACATTAATGTAATGTAGAACCATAAATCATTAAGATAACTACATTTACTACCCATTTCGTTAGCACGATAGTTTCATTCGATAAGGTTGTATTAACAAATAGAATCGATTAATAATATAGCTGACCTCCACAATCGATTGTACGATTAGATAGCATCGATCTGAGTAATCGCGGAAAGTGAATGTTATACAACCATTACATTATAATCCACACTAATATCTAAACACCATTCAGCTCCCTGTTATGAACTCTGAAAGTATCATAGATATCTAGCTTTTGGTACAAGTGTAAAGTGGTAGAGCTATTGAGTTTATTGGATTTAACATTATTTTTCTAACATAACTATAATTTCAAATCAGTGTTACCGTTTTACGCTAGATCTAGCG